ACCATTTATTAAACAAACATTCTCTTCCCCACTTAATGGATTTGGGGCCTTTGTCAAAGATCAGCTGACTATAGGTTGATGGATCTATACCTGGGTTGAAATCTATTAGAATTTTTGATGAGTGCTCCAAATTATCTTGTCTTTTGTACTTCTGTCAAAAGGTGAGGTAGATGGTATGAGGAGACATCATTGGGGAATGTGAGATACTCAGTGTGAACATATGGTTTTGAATTAAACTTTGTTTATTCTCTTTAAAAACAAAATAAAAGAACCTCTTTTCTCCCACACACCATACACACACACACAAAATAAAAAAACCAAAACTAACTCCTGCATATTTTGGCAAATGAGTAAGGTGGGGAAATGTATTAACATTTTTTTTTTTTAATGAAACTACTTTTTCAAGAGCTCTATATATGTTATCTCATTGAAACTTTAAAACAATCCTAAGGAGTAGGTATTTTTAGGCATATTTAACAGATGGGGAACTGAAACAAGGACAGGCTAAAAAACTTGCCTAAGGCCATCGATTAAGTACCCGGCAAAGCTGGGATTTGAATCCAGATCTCTGTCACTCTGGAGCAAAATCTCTAGCCACACCTTTACACTGGTAGACTTTCATTTTGACAATTAACTCAGATGTTGGAAATTTATTTTCTCTATGATTCAAAATTTTCTCACATCCTAGAATGGCTGTTCTCACTATTATGAGAGTTGCCACTATACATTATTATTTCTTTCATTTGACTTTGCTTCTAGACTCTTCCTAAAAGCACAGCTTGCAAATACTTATTTTTGTAAGATATTGAATTAGATACTTATTTTCCTTCTGCCCCCACTCTTCCTACTCTGAATCAAGGAGCACTACTAGAAATAACTGTCTTTCAATTGGCCCCAAATTAGGACTTGGATTACTTCTCTAAAGAGTTTCACAATATAAATAGGTTGCAAATCTTAAATCAAGTCCAGGGAAATTTCCTGTTGCTACTTCTTCCAATTGGACTAATGAGGAATAAAAATAAATCCTATTGTATTTGTTGTTGTTGTTGTTATGTGCCGTCGAGTCGGCCCCGACTCATAGCGACCCCTCCTTGGGTTTCCGAGGCAGTATCACTACGGAAGTAGGATTACCCAACCTTCCTTCCGAGGAGTGGCTGGTGGGTTTGAACCGCCAGCCGTCTGGTTAGCAGGCAAGTGTCTTAGCCACTATGCTACCAGAGCTCCCGTCCTATTATATTTAGTAACATGAAAACTAAAACTTTCAAAAT